TTCGAACACTTCCTCTGAGCTTTAGCCAGCCGCCCACTGTTCAACATATAATATCAGTTTCTTTTAGTCTTAACAACCCAGCCTCACTATTCAACAGATAATATCAGATTCTTTTAGTCATAACAAGCCAGTTCCACTGTTCTGTAGATTATATCGAACATTTTAGTCACAACAAGCCAGTCCCAAACTGAAACCTTACTCAGCTGTAAACCAAATTCAATAGAAATCAGCGCCAGCTAGTTTTTGAATCTGAAAGTAAAATCTATTTAAATGTCTCTTTATACCATAAGATGTATTTGTTTGATGTGGTAAATTTCGTGAACATTGACCTAGCCGGACATTCAAGTGTAACACAACATACAACGGTCAACAAAAGGACGGTAGCTAGCTTGTTACAAAACATACAACGGTCAACAAAAGGACGGTAGCTAGCTTGTTGGACAACATACAACGGTCAAGGAAAAGGACGGTAGCTAGCTTGTTGGACAAGATACAAAGGTCAAGAAAAGGATGGTAGCTAGCTTGTTACACAACATACAAAGGTCAAGAAAAGGATGGTAGCTAGCTTGTTACACAACATACAAAGGTCAGGAAAAGGACGGTAGCTAGCTTGTTGGACAAGATACAAAGGTCAGGAAAAGGACGGTAGCTAGCTTGTTAGACAACATACAAAGGTCAAGAAAAGGATGGTAGCTAGCTTGTTGGACAACATACAAAGGTCAGGAAAAGGACGGTAGCTAGCTTGTTACACAACATACAAAGGTCAAGAAAAGGATGGTAGCTAGCTTGTTAGACAACATACAAAGGTCAAGAAAAGGATGGTAACTAGCTTGTTGGACAACATACAAAGGTCAGGAAAAGGATGGTAGCTAGCTTGTTGGACAACATACAAAGGTCAGGAAAAGGACGGTAGCTAGCTTGTTACACAACATGCAGAAGTGCAGACCAACTGTTGGGATCCCTGGTCCATAGTGGCTAGTTAAACACATTTTCTAAACCATTTATACACCAAATTACTTGTGGGTTTATGACTTTGTTGGTTATAAGGTTCCTAATAGCATAAAAGCTGTACAAGAAAGTAAAAAATACCGTAAATATTGCAGTTATTCCTACAAAGTACTGAGGGGATTTCCTATTTTACATATTGCAGTTATTCCTACTAAGTACTGAGGGGATTTCCTATTTTACATATTGCAGTTATTCCTCCTAAGTACTGAGGGGATTTCCTATTTTACATATTGCAGTTATTCTTACTAAGTACTGAGGGGATTTCCTATTTTACATATTGCAGTTATTCCTCCTAAGTACTGAGGGGATTTCCTATTTTACATATTGCAGTTATTCTTTCTAAGTACTGAGGGGATTTCCTATTTTACATAAAGAAATGAGGGATTTCATCCATTTTTTGAAAAGTCAATTCTTTATGGCCTGGTGGTTAGGGTGCTCAACTCGCATTCTGAGGGTCGTGGGTTCGAATCCCCATCACTGAACATATTCGCCTTTTCAGCTGTGGGAATGTTATAATGTGACGGTCAATACCAGTATTCGTCTGTAAAAGTATAGCCGAAAAGTTGGCTGTGGGTGGTGTTGACGAGCTGCCTTTGCTCTAATCTATCATTATCTATTAGGGACAGTTAGCACAGGTAGCCCTCGTGTAGCTTTGCACGAGATTCAAACCAAACCAGTTTTTTAGACTGAATGTTGTGGTAAGTGAATACTTGAAATGTGTCAATATGAGCCAATATGTGGACCCCACCAGTAGTAAACAAGCTGAAAAAACGACAGGTACCAGGATGTTTTTATCTACCATCTCAACAGCAGAGTTTTAGAACGTGGTCCCCAAGATAAAAAATAGGTTAATAATCACTATACTTCCACGAGACGTCAACCTATGTCAGTGAGAAACGAGCAGGATTTCAAATGTGATTGTACCATTAGTGTGTGGTATGCGGATAAGATGGTAATTTGAGAGTTAAGCACAAGAAATATAAAATCTAAAGCTTGAAATTACTGCTCTTCCCTAGGTTTATTAATATTCTCTATCACCTGTAGAGACACGAATCTCTTACCTTTGGTAGCAACTTTCTGAACATCTTGCACTGCGCATGTCGATGGTACACAAATCCCTATACGTAAAGCTGCAGAGTAGAAAAACTGGGCGTTCTGGGCAAGATGGTGGAACACCTGAGAATGAAATATCCTAACAGTTATTAATATTAAAGAGACTAATTAACTTCTTCACACAGTTATCAGAGATATCGGTGTTAATATTAAAGAGACTAATTAACTTCTTCACACAGTTATCAGAGATATCGGTATTAATATTAAAGAGACTAATTAACTTCTTCACACAGTTATCAGAGATATCGGTGTTAATATTAAAGAGACTAATTAACTTCTTCACACAGTTATCAGAGATATCGGTGTTAATATTAAAGAGAGTGATGAACTTCTTCACACAGTTATCAGAGATATCGGTATTAATATTAAAGAGACTAATTAACTTCTTCACACAGTTATCAGAGATATCGGTGTTAATATTAGAGAGATTAATGAACTTCTTCACACAATTATCAGAGATATCGGTATTAATATTAAAGATATTAATGAACTTCTTCACACAGTTATCAGAGATATCGGTATTAATATTAAAGAGATTAATGAATTTCTTCACACCGTTATCAGAGATATCGGTATTAATATTTGTTTCTCATAAGCTATTAGATATTTCCAAACAAGAAACTTTAGGTAAGATGTTATAAGATTTAAATGTTTTTATTATAAATTATATGACAATGTAGAGCTGTTCTTAAAAAAAAAGAAAAAAGAAAATTCAACTGAAACACAAAATAAACGGTTTGACACGTAAAGCGCCCTCTAACTGTATTTTACGGTATTACGTTAAAGTTTAACACGTAGGACTCAAGAAGTTCGCCCTCTAACTGTATCTAAAGTATGAGGTTAAGGTTTGACACACGTGCACTCAAATAAAGCGCTCTCTATCTGTCTTTTCCGGTATTACGTTATTATTTGAAACATAGAAAATCCAGTCTTTTTATATCATGGTTAAACATCTGACACGCTCTTATCTCCATTCTGGCTTTCGAATTTATTCCGACATTTGTCGAGAACGTGTAAGTCTAGGGATTCTAGAAGATTTAGATACTAGTAACGGGCGAGAGGAATCCACTTACAACTGGATATAAAATATAGGTTGAATATTATCGTGTCTCAATTACATTTGTTTATCGGTAGCATCAGAGGTGAAACTGTCTTGAACAAATTGATCTATACACTGGCCTGGCAAAACAAACAAATCATTTATAC